GTTGTCATTGGTGGGAAAATGAATTCTAGAGTTTATCAAGACATTTTGCAGGAAAACGTACGACCATCTGTCCACCAACTGGAGCCCCACAGAGGATGGGTGATGCAACAGGACAATGACCCAAAGCATACAAGTAATTCAACAAAACAATGGCTGCAACAGAACAGAATACGCCTTCTGGAGTGGCCCAGTCAGAGTCCTGACCTCAACCCGATTGAAATGCTGTGGCATGACCTTAAGAGAGTGATTCACACGAGACATCCCAAGAATATTGCTACACTGAAACAGTTTTGTGAAGAGGAGTGGTCCAAAATTACTCCAGATCGTTGTGCAGGTCTGATCTGCAACTACAGGAAACATTTGGTTGAGATTATTGCTGCCAAAGGAGGGTCAACCAGTTATTAAGTCCAAAGGTTCACATACTTTTTCCTCCCTGCACTGTGAATGTTTACATGTTATGTGCAATTAAACCATGGCAACATCTAATGTTTGTGTAGTATTATGTTCAGCAGACTGTGTTCTTCTATTGTTGTGACTTAGATGATGTTCAGAGCACATTTTATGCCCAATTCATGCAAAACTCCACGTTATCCCAAGGGGTTCACATACTTTTTCTTACAACTGTATATATATACACGGTATATATATATATATATATATATATATATATATATATATATATATATATTATATTTATTTTTTTTTTTTTTTTTAATTTTTAGCAAAGGCCATAAATCAGAGGAAAAGTCTGTCACAAAATTCACTAAAATGTGATCTGATGAACCAGCCGGAGCCGACATTTAGCTGTTTCAGTTAATCTTTTAATCATCATGATGGAGCATAATTATCTATTTGAACTCTTTTAATGATTCTTCTATAGTGAAGAACAAAATGGACCAACTGAACTCTATACAAGATTTGGGTCTCTAATAGACAAAGTTGTCTGTTCTTACAGTATATCATTAAGAGCTTTCATAATCATATCACTTTGAGCTTTAATAAGTCTGGCAGACATTTTCTGTGTTTTTATCTGTACTTCCTTTCTCACATTCAACTGAAGCAATTACTCTTTTCTCTGGCTGACTCTTTTATGTATATTTAGCCAATAGCTTTGAGATATGTATGTATACATTAGACAAAATATTCACTTCATCAACTGGTTTGACTAGTAAGCAACAGACCAGGTGTGGTGCTAAAAAGTAAAACTGTGTCCAAGCTGAACCTCTTCCAATGTTCACACACATATGTGCATACCTGTCATTCCCTGAGGATCTAAGTGCTGGAATGCAGTGAAATCAAGTCTAACCATTGCAAAGATTCTAATGTATGGGCTAAATAACAATCACACCATAGTTACTATGCACCATCTGAAACATACGTGAACTTATAAGAGTTATATAACTTGTAAAAGTTTCACATGCCTTTTTTGTGTGAGGCTTCCTCTTAAAATCCATACCAGACCTGTATGCCCATTATGAATTTGAGGGGAAGCCACTAGAAAAGATGTTAGGTAGTCAGGAAATTGGTTATCACATTTTGAGAGACCCTATTATCTGCTTGTTACAGTTAAAAAAAAAAAAAAAAAAAGTAAAAAAAAACTGTTTTATTATTAACCATTGCTGTTTTCTTTGCAGGAATGCCATTCAGCTGCAGCACGGATCTGTTTATTCTGACAGCAACAGGGTCTTGCTCTCAGAATATATGTGTGTGCAGCACTGTTGATTGAGATTTTTCATCCAGGTAAAAAAAAAGTGTATATCCCCAAGCATGGGAGCCTGGGGTGGCCAGTGGGTGGATGGCCCCTATGCTCCGGCATATATATTTTATAATATTTTTGGCACATATTTCAATAAAAAAGTTGTTTTGTTGAATCACTGTTTTATTGTTAACTATTCCTGTTTTCTTTGCATGAATGCCATTCAGCTGCAGCTATGGATCTGTTTATTCTGACAGCAACAGGGTCTTGCTCTCAGAATATATGTAAGTGTGTGCAGCGCTGTTGGATAAGATTTTTCATCCACAGTTAAAAAAGAGCATATATGCCCAAGCATGGGGGCCTGGGTTGGCCAGTGGGTAGATGGCCCCTATGCATCGGCATACATTTTTAACATTTTTTTGGGCAGAGATTTCTTAATCCACATCGATTGATGTGAATAGAGGAATTTGTTCAGGGCTCCTGTATGTGGCTAAGCTCCCACAAAGTCTCACATAAGTGGTATCCTCATACTCAGTAGAAGTAGCAGAATCTATTTTGGGGTGTAATTCCACATATACCCATGGCATGTGGGAACAATATATTGTTTTAGTGACAACTTTGTGTAAAAAAAAATGTCAATTTCCAAAAACTTGTAGAAAAAAAAATAAATCTTCCATGGACTCAACATGCCTTTCAGCAGATAGCTTAGGGTGTCTACTTTCCAAAAAAGGGTCATTTGGGGGTGCTTGTACTGCCCTAGTATTTTAGCACCTCAAGAAATGTGAGAAAGTAAAAGCTGTGTAAATTCCAGTATCTATATCATGGTTTACAGATGCTATAACTTTCACACAAACCAATTAATATATAGTTATTGCGATTGTGGCCTAAATTTATGATCAAATTTTAGTTTTTTAGATATTTTTTATGACAGAAATAAGAAAATATTGGGGTGGGGGGTGTTTGATCTTTTTTTACAGCACAAAAAAAAAAACAGTGGTGATCAAATACTACCAAAAGAAAGCTCTATTTGTGTGAAAAAAGGACATAAATGTCATTTATGTACAGTATTGCATGACCGCGCAATTGTCAGTTAAACTAGCACAGCGCCGTATAGCAAAAATGGAGTAAATTCCAATTTCTATACCATCATTTGTAGACACTATTACTCTCACACAAACTAATTAATATATACCTATTGGGATTTTTTTTTTTACCAAAGACATAGCAAAATAAATTTTGGCCTACATTTATGACAGAATTTGAGTTTATTGGATATTTCTTATGACAGAAATGAGAAAATATCATTTTTGTTTAAAAATTTTCAATCTCTTTTTTTATAGCGCAAAAAAAAAAAAACCAGAGGTGATCAAATACCACCAAAAGAAAGCTCTATTTGTGTGAACAAAAGGACATTTAATTTATGTACAGAACTTCATGACCACGCAATTGTCAGCTAAACTAGTGCAGCACTGTATAGTATAAAGGTGAATAAAGCACCTGGACCAGATGCATACACCCACGGGCCCTTAAAGAATTGAGCTCTGTCATTTCAAAGCCATTGTTTCTAATTTTTAGGGACTCTTTAATGACTGGCATAGTACCACTGGATTGGTGTAATGCCAATGTGGTACCAATATTTAAAAAGGGGTCAACATCTTTACCAAGTAATTATAGACCTGTTAGTTTAACTTCTATAGTTGGGAAGATACTGGAGAGTTTAATAAAAGACCACATAGATGAGTTCTTGCTGGAGAAAAAATATTTTAAGCAACAGACAGCATGGTTTCATGAAAGGCAGAAGTTATCAAACAAATCAGATTTCTTTTTATGAGGGGGTGAGCAAAACCTTGCACAGAGGGGTGGCGGTGGAAGTGGTATGCTGGGATTTTGCAAAAGCGTTTGACACAGTTCCCCACACATGACTAATGTGTAAGGTAAAGTCTAAGGGCTTGGAAAAATCTGTACGTAAATGGATAGAAAACTGGCTAAAATATCGTATTCAAAGAGTAGTGGTTAATGATTCATACTCTGAATGGTCTAGGGTTGTCAGTGGTGTACCCCAAGGTTCAGTGTTGGGACTCTTACTTTTTAATATATTTATAAACAATATAGGGTCTGAGATTAAAAATCCCATTTCAGTCTTTGCCACCAAGCTGTGCAGTGGAATAACATCCTTACAGGATGTCTTCAACTTTCAAGCTGACCTCAATGCACTGTCTAATTGGGCAACTATGTGGCAAATGAGGTTTAATGTTGATAAATCTAAGGTTATGCACTTGGGGGCTAAGAATATGCATGCATCATACATACTAGGAGGAGTACAACTGGGGGAATCAATGGTGGAGAAGGATCTGGGAGCTCTGGTAGATCTGGTAGCTTAATAATGGCATGCAATGCCAAGCTGTGGTTTCTAAAGTGATCAAAATCCTCTCTTGTATTAAAAGAGGTATAGACTCCAGAGAGAGAGCTATTACCCCTGTACAAATCATTAGTAAGACCTCATCTGGAATATACAGTTCAGTTTTGGGTACCAATTCACAAAAAGAACATTGGGGAACTTGAGAAAGTACAGAGAAGGGCAACTAAACTGATAAGAGGCATGGAGATCAGCTATGAGGAAAGATTAGAGGAACTGAATTTATTCTCTCTTGAGAAGAGAAGATTAAGGGGGGATATGATCAACATGTATAAATACATCAGTGGTTCATATAGTGAACTTGGTGTAGAGCTATTCACCCTGAGGTCATCATAGAGGACAAGGGGGCACTCTTTACGTCTGGAGGAAAATGTAATCTCCAAACACGGAAAGGTTTCTTCACAGTAAGAGCTGTGAAAATGTGAAATAGACTTCCTCAAGAGTTGGTTCTGTCCAGCTTAGTGGATTGCTTCAAAAAAGGCCTGGATTGTTTCTTAGATACACAGAATATAATTGGATACTATCATTTATAGGTAAAGTTGATCCAGGGAATATCTGATTGCCTCTCGGGGGATCAGGAAGGAATTTTTTTACCCTGCAGGAGCAAATTGGATCATGCTTTGATGGGTTTTTTTTGCCTTCCTCTGGATCAACTGTGGGTCTAGGATTATAACTATTTTTTTTTTAATGGTTGAACTGGATGGATTTTTGTCTTTTTTCAGCTAGGCTAACTATGTAATTATGTAACTCCGATGGTAATATCCTTGATCTTGTCTTCTCCAACCGCTGCTCTCCCCACAACCTCAAGGTGGTTCTCTTGTTCTGGGAGGACGTCATATGACATCCTCCCATTCTCACTGCGCATGCGCGGCTCAGGGAGCGAGCAGCGTGGCGATCTCCGGTGCGCAGCGGATCACCGATCACGGAAAGAGCCAAAGATGTTGGCTCGGTCACGTGATCAGCTGTGTCCAATCACAGCTGATCACATGTAAACAGGGAAATGCCGGTTATCGGCATTTCTCTCCTCTCGAGCTGTCACACTGACAGCTCGAGAGGAGAGGAGAGCCAGTAATCGGCTTTCCGCGGAGGGGACATGTACACTGATCATCAGGGCACTGATGATCAGTGTGCCCTGATGATCAGTGTAGCCCCAGCAGTGCCACCTGTCAGTGTCCATCGGTCCCTTATGTCAGTGCTCATCAGTGCCTCGTGCCAGTGCCCATCAGTGCCACATATCAGTGCCTACCAGTGCACATCAATGCCACATATCAGTGCCCATCTGAGCTGCCTTTCAGTGTCACCTATCAATGCCAATGAGTGCCACCTATCAGTGCTGCCAATCAGTGCCACCTATCAGTGCCAGTCAGTGCCGCCTATCAGGGCCAGTCAGTGCTGCCTATCAGTGCGCATCAGTGCCGCCTATCAGTGCCTGTCAGTGCCACCTAACAGTGCCAGTCTGTGCCGCCTATAAGTGTCAGTCAGTGCCACCTATCAGTGCTAGTCAGTGCTGCCTATCAGTGCCATATATCAGTGCCATGTATAAGTGCCATGTATCAGTGCTGCCTTTCAGTGCCCATCAGTGATGCCTGTCAATCCCCATCAGTGCCACCTACCAGTGCCTCCTCATCAGTGCCAATCAGTGCCACCTATTAGTGTCCATCGGTGCCCATCAGTGCAGCCTCATTAGCACACATCAGTGAAGGAGAAAAATCACTTATTTACAAAATTTTATAACAAAAATTAAGAAAAAACTTTTTTTTCAAAATTTTCAGTGGTTTTTGGTTTGTTTAAGAAAAAATAAAAAACCCAGAGGTGATTAAATACCACCAAAATAAAGCTCTATTTGTCACAAAAAATGATAAAAATTTCATATGGGTACAGTGTTGTTTGACCGCGCAATTGTCATTCAAAGTGCGACAGCGCTGAAAGCTGAAAATTGGCCTGGGCAGGAAGGGGGTATAAGTGCCCTGTAGGCTAGCGGTTAAGGAGAAGACAGAGAACAGCAGGATCAACCAGATTTTTTCAAAATACAAAAAAGGAATCTCACAGTAAATGAGTGAGTATGAACAGCATGTAATACAGTATTTATTGATAGGTTTCATGATCTGGGTTTAGAAACACTTTAAGGTATTCTTGTACACACTTAGCTTTGTATGGCTATAATCTCTAAAAACTGATTTTTTATTTTATAAAGAAGACAATTTCTATTATAAACATATCGTTTAACACTGACAATTCCATTTGTGCACATCAAGTCATTGAAAAACATGTTGTGCCTGAATGGCTACTACAAATTATTTGAATAATATTTTGGTGTTACTCATAAAAAGATATGTCAACATATTTGATGTCAGGAGAGTTAATTACATATCCCAGTGAGAGCATGTAAAATGAGATGGGAAAAGAACCCAAGATAGAGCCTCAGGGTAAATCAGCAGGTAGTCTACAGATATCTAAGGCACTATAAGCAAGAAGGAATTGTGGGATGAGTTAAAGGAAATCTTGGATAGTGCTCTGTTATGAATGTTGAAAAGCTGGAGAATAAAAAAATAAAGTAAGGGTCAACAGAAAAAAGACCACCACATGGGTGAAAGGGGTGAATAAATATTACAGATAGTCTCTGAAGAATGTGTTTTGCAATATGTATGTAGATCAGAAAGTACTAAAGACTGGAGTACAGAGCTTTAGCTAGCATCCACATCAAAAACAGAAACATAAATAAATATTAAAACCACAGTGAGAACATCTGTTTCTACTAATCCAATATTACTTTTAAAATCCATACAAAGGGTATGTGCCAAATATTGAGTAGGTGAAGGGGGTTAATTTCATGCATGACTCACCAACTGGATTTGATATTTCGTATACCAGTTCAACACTTAAAAAAAAGATCATACTGTATTGGGTTTTATAAATCAACTTGAAGAGAATGTAATTTTGGAAACACAACACACTAGAGATCAATAAAGTAATGTAATGCAGTATGTAAGTCAAATCTATCTATCCATCTATCTATCTATCTATCTATCTATCTATCCATATCTTTATTGCTGTTCTTTTTCCAGAAAAAAAATCACATTATTGCACTGAATAGAAACACAGATAAACACAATACACATATTGTTATTATTATTTGTTTATTTATTTATTATTATATTTATTATGGATTTATATATCAGCAACAGTTTGCACAACACCTCACAAAGTAAAGAGGGACAGTATAGTTACAATACAATTCAATGCATGATTATCAGGAGGGCCCATGTATCCCCATTACATCAGGTGTGCCAATCAGAGTGCTCCTTTACATCAGTTGTCCCCATCAGAGTGTCCCTTTACATCAGGTATCCCCATCACATTGACTCCTTACATCAGGAATTGCCATCAGTGCCCCCTTAAACTCAAAGTACCCCTTTCCATTCTATTTCTCCATCAGAAAGCCCCTTTACATCATATTCCCCATCAGAGTGCCCCGTTCTATCACATGTGCCCATCAGAGTGCCCCTTTCCACAGTATGTGCCCATATGTGCCCCCTTAAAATAACAGGTGCCATAAGTGTGCCCCCTTAACATAAAAGATGCCCATCAGAGTGCCCCTTAGCATAAAATGTGCCCATCAGTGTGACCCTTAACATAAAATAAGCAGCATGCTGATGGGCACATTTTATGCTAAGGGACACTCTGATGAGCACATTTATATTAAGGGGCACTTTGATGGGCACATTTTATGTTAAGGATCACTCTGCTGGGCACATTTCATGTTAAGGGGCACTCAGCATTCTATGCTGTGCCCATCAGAGTGCCCCTTAACATTAAATGTACCCATCAGCAATACTCTTTAACATTAAATGTGTCCATCATAGTGCCCCTTAATATAAATGTGCCCAGAAAGAACACACCCTACTTTGAGGGCAGACAGGAGCGGGAGGCAGGAGCTTGGTGGGATCCTTGCTGAAGGGGGCGGGGTGTACACTTGTGGACAGGCAGGAAGCAGGAGTCGGGAGATACAGCAAGCTCTAATGGGCGGGGCACATGCGTGATATCATCAGTTGCTGGGACGACCGCTCTGCTGAGTAGTGGATCTGTCATTCCAGTTTGGCGGGCTGGCAGTCCGGGCGGGAGAGCTGCTCAGGCCGTTCTCGGACAGCGGTCTGCCATTTAGTGACCGCTGATATAGAGGAATAAATATTATTTGTAACAATAGGACAAGACACTCATTCTGTAATGCTGGCTACATGTTGCATCTGAGCTATAACTGTGTTGCTCCGATGTTGCTAATGCAGCTCAGGCATGTGCAGATGATAGGTTCAGTAGAAGGAGTGCAAGGAAAAGGAGCACAAATCAACTTATAGTTTAAAAAAAAAACTCAAGTCACTAAAGATGAGTGCACACTGTACAATAAAGCCCCTGTACTGAGACGTCACCTCCTGCCTGTACCGACATGTTTCAGTTGGATACAACCAATGGTTCCAAAGTAAAGCTGGTCAGAGGACACTGCTCTCATTATATGCTCTCCTCATCTGCTATTTCCACCAGTTATCCCTTCCCTGAACAATTCATATATGATATCTAAAAGATAAACAGTAAATTGATATAATTATATTTTCAGATATCTATAAAAGAGCATCTAATTTACAAGATTGTTAAATATCTTAATCTGCAAAAGCTGATAAGAATCAATAAATATACGATTGCTCTACTGTCCCTACAGATCTTCCCATTAATTCAAAGCAAACAATTCATAGTCCAGATTTGTGCCATTTGGGGCAATAGTGTTCAGTTGAAAAATTAACTTTGACTCCTGCACACCTTTGTGATGTAGTCTCCTCCTCCAGTCAGACTTTACTACCTCTATTCCCTAAATGTGGTACCTATCAAACTCTGACTAGGGTACTCACGATAATGTCTAGGAAGGGAGTGTTTCCCATTTCCTTATAATATATTGCAAACATGCCCTCTGATTCAAATACTCAGTTCTCTTTTATTACGCCTCATATAGAGTTTGTGAAATGGGCATTTAATTGTATAAATCACAGCCTTAGTTGCACAGGTAATGAAATTTCCTCAGGGTGTACACCTGCTGGTATCCTGGGTTCACAAAATCTTTAATTTCTTCTTACCATTCTTTTTAAAGAATAAATGTGGGACTGTGAATTGAATTTAAAGGTCAGTGCCAGATCAAATGAACTTCATTGATTCTCTTGGACCTTTCTGTCCTTCAAGAGCTCTTCTCTGGGTATAACATCACATAACACCTGCTACTGCAGTAACAGTAACATTATTCCTACAATTTATTTAATTTGAGTTTGAAGAGGCAAAAAGGTTGTGAATACAAAATCTTGAGTTTATCATCGCTCAAGACAATGGATATATTGAAATTCTCAATTTCTATGGGGGAAATCATGGAAAGGGTTCTTGGCCACTAGATGGAGAGTAATGGTATTAGGGCACGTTTACACTGCTGCTAAATCAGAATGGTTTAGTGTGCGGGCAGCTGTCGGTTTCGGCAGTGAGCCTTGGTAAGAGGGCAATGTGATGTGCATTTCAGGGCATCAAACAGTTTTCTTTTTTGTCAACTTTATTTGAAGTGCACAAATTGACACTTCATTCATGTCATTGCATTGCTGCGTGGCAACATTCACTGCCTACTTGTGTACTGCGATAAAATGCAGCATGTCGCAAGAGACAATACAGGGAAAATTTGCAAAGCATTTTTGTGACATTCACCTAACAAATATTTCATAAGTAAACCACGTCAGTGTTGACTTGAGAGCAATTAGAGATGACCTACAGTTGTCATATTACAGATCACATTTTTTTTTTTTTTGCAAAGCCCAGGTCTCTAGTACAGCTACCCTGACTGGTTAGAACCCATTTTTCCAAATGTCCTGACAAACTTAAAGTGTTACAAAATGTAATTTAAAAAAAAAATAATAAATAATAAATATGTTATACTCACCTGCTCTGTGCAGTGGTATGGCCCCAATCCTCCTTTTCTCGGATCCCCCTCCGGTGATCCTGGCTCCTCTTCTTTGTGTCATCATAGCTAGCCATTTGCTATGGGGACACATGCTGCATGCTTTCTCCCAACCTGTGTGTCTACGGAGCCATGCTCCATAGACACACACAGCCTCACCCCCACTTCCTCTTCACTGCACTTGATTGACAGCAGCAAGAGCCAATGGCTCCTGCTGCTGTTCAAGTCCCTGTGTGAAGAGAGAGCAAAAGGAGAAGAGAGGCACCGTGAAGAGCACTGAAGTCTTCTCCCCTCTATTCCCCTTCACACGGGGAAGTGGGAGTACAGGGAACTTAAAAAAAATGTTTTTTACCTTAATGCAAGCAGTGCATTAAGGTAAAAACATTTTAGGGTTTAGTCTCACTTTAATTGTTTTGCAATGCAATACATTAAGTGGTACTAGAACATAG